CAGCGCTGGCTCCACTGGTATAGTCTATAGGATACATATCCCATAATTTCTTTATCCAGTTTTCTATTGAAGTACATGTAGGTTGACTCCATGACTTAGCTATTGTGAATTGAGCTGCAATAAACACTGGGGTGCAGACAGCTATTTTATTGCCATTTTTAACTTTTATTTAGTAAATATAAATTTCTAAATACAGCTTATGAATTACAATGGCTTCCCCCCCATAACTTCCCTCCCACCAACAACCCTCCCAACTCCCACTCTCTCTCCCATTCCATTCACATCAAGATTCATTTTCAGTTCTCTTTATATACAGAAGATCAATTTAGTATATATTAAGTAAAGATTTCAACAGTTTGCACCAACACAGAAACATAAAGTGAAAAATACTGTTTGAGTACTAGCTATAGCATTAATTCACATTGAACAACACATTAAGGACAGAGATCCTAGATGAGGAGTAAGTGCACAGTGACTCCTGTTGTTAATTTAACAAATTGACACTCCTGCTTATGGTGTCAATAATATCCCTAGGCTCTAGATATGAGTTGTCAAGGCTATGGAAGCCTTTTGAGTTTGGCAGACATCGATCTTATTTAGACAAGGGTCATAGTCAAAGTGGAAGTTCACTCTTCCCTTCAGAGAAAGGTACCTGCTTCTTTGAAGGTGCATTCTTTCCACTGGGATCTCACTTGCAGAGATCTTTCATGTAGGTCCCCCCCCCTTTTTTTGCCACAGTGTCTTGGCTTTTCATGCCTAAAATACTCTCATGGGCTCTTCAGACAGATCCAACTGCCTTAAGGGCTGATTCTGAGGCCAGAGTGCTATTTAGGTTGTTTACGTGTCTTAGCTATTGTGTATTGAGCTGCAATAAACATTGAGGTGCAGACAGCTCCTTTGTTTGTCAATTTAATTTCCTTTTGGTAAATTCCAAGGGGTGGATGGCTGGGTTGTATGGTAGGGTTAAATTCAGGTTTCTGAGGTATCTCCAAACTGTCTTCATAGTGGCTTTAACAGTTTTCATTCCCACCAACAGTGGGTTAGTGTCCCTTTTTCCCCACATCCCCACCAGCATCTGTTGTTGTTAGATTTCTGTATGTTAGCCATTCTAACCAGGGTGAGGTGAAACCTCATTGTGGTTTTGAATTGCATTTCCCTGATGGCTAGTGATACTGAACATTTTTCATGTGTCTGTTGTCCATTTAGATGTCCTCCTTTGAAAATGTCTGTTGAGGTCCGTGGCCCATCTCTTAAGTGGGTTGTTTATTTGTTGTTGTGGAGTTTCTTGATCTCTTTGTAGATTCTGGTTCTTAAACCTTTATCGGTTCCATATTTTACAAATATTTTTTTCCCATTCTGTCAGTCTCCTCTTCAATTTACTCACTGTTTCTTTTGCAGTATAGAAACTTCTCAATTTGATGTAATCCCAATAGTTAATTTTGGCTTTGACTGCCTGTGCCTCTGGAGTATTATCCAAGAAGTCTTTGCATGTGCCTATATCTTGCAGGGTTTTTCCATGTTCTCTAATAATTTGATGGTGTTGTGTCGTAGGTTTAGGTGTTTAATCCATGTTGAGTGGATTTTTGTGTAAGGTGTAAGATAGGGCTCTTGCTTCATGTTTCTGCATGTGGAAATTCTGTTTTCCCAGTACCATTTGTTCAAATGTCTGTCCTTGCTTCTAGAATTGGTTTTAGCTCCTTGATCAAATATAAGTTAGCTATTTATGTTTGGATTCATTTTTGGTGTTTCTATTCTGTTCAATTGGTCTATCCATTTGTTTCTGTACCAGTACCATGCTGTTTTGATTATAGCTGCCCTATATTATGTTCTAAAATCTGGTATTGTGATGCCTCCAGCTTTGTTTTTGTTGTACAAGATTGGTTTAGCTATTCAAGGTCTCCATATGAATTTCAGCTTCATTTTTTCCAGATTTGAGGAGAATGTCTTTGGTATTTGATTATTATCGCATTGAATCTATAAATTACTTTTGGGAGAGTGGATATTTTGATGATATTGATTCTTCCAATCCATGAGCATGGAAGATTTTTCCTTTTTTTTTTTTTTGGTATCCTCTTTTTTCTTTCTTTAAGAATTGTAATTCTCATTGTTGAGACCTTTGACATCCTTGGTTAAGTTCAATCCAAGGTATTTGATTGTTTTTGTAGCTATTGTGAATGGGACTGATCTTAGCAGTTCTTTCTCAGCCATGGAATTGCCTGCGTATACAAAAGCTGTTGATTTTTGTACACTGATTTTATATCCTGCTACTTTGCCAAACTCTCCTATGAGTTCCAGTAGTCTCGTAGTATAGTACTTTGGATCCATTAGAAAAGAGTCATATCATCTGCAAGAGGGATAGTTTTAAATCTCCTTCCCAATTTGTATCCCTTTCTTTTCTTTTCTTGAATAATTGCTCTGGATAAAACTACCAGTAATATATTGAATAGTAATGGTGAGAGTGGGCATCCTTGTCTGGTACCAGATCTCAGTGGAAATGCTTCCAACTTTTCCCCATTCAATAGGATGTTGGCCGTGGGTTTTTAATAAATTGCTTTGATTGTATTGAGGAAAACTCCCTCTATACCCAATTTGCTTAGAGTTTTCATCATGAAAGGGTGTTATATTTTATCAAATGCTTTCTCTGCATCAGTTGAGATAATCATATGGTTATTCTGCAGTTTGTTAATGTGGTGTGTCACATTGATTGATTTGAAAATGTTGAACCACCCCTGCATACCAGGGATAAATCCCACTTGGTCTGGGTGGATGATATTCCTGATGTGTTGTTGCATTCTATTGGCCAGAATATTATTGAGGACTTTTGTGTCTATGTTCATCAGGGATATTGGTCTATAATTTTCTTTCTTTCTTTCTTTCTTTTTTTTTTTTTTTTGACAGGCAGAGTGAACAGTGAGAGAGAGACATAGAGAGAAAGGTCTTCCTTTGCCATTGGTTCACCCTCCAATGGCCACCGCTTCTGGCACACTGCAGCCGGCGCACCGCGCTGATCGGAAGGCAGGAGCCAGGTACTTATCCTGGTCTCCCATGGGGTGCAGGGCTCAAGGACTTGGGCCATCCTCCACTGCACTCCCTGGCCACAGCAGAGAGCTGGCCTGGAAGAGGGGCAACCAGGACAGAATCCGGCGCCCTGACCGGGACTAGAACCCAGTGTGCCAGCACTGCAGGGTGGAGGATTAACCTAGAGAGCTGCGGTACTGGCCTGTAATTTTCTTTCAATGCTGCATCTTTTTCTAGCTTAAGGATTAAGGTGATGCTGCCTTCATAGAAAGAATTTGGGAGGATTCCCCATTTTTGAATTGTTCTGAATAGTTTGAGAAGAATTGGAGTTAGTTCATATTTACATGTCTGGTAGAATTCAGCGATGATTCCATTTGGTCCTGGATTTTTCTTTGTTGGGAGGGTCTTTATTACTGATTCAATTTCTTACTTGGTTATGGGTCTTTTTTTGTTTTTATGTCTTCATGGTTCAATTTAGGTAGGTTGCATGTGTCCAGGAATCTATCCATTTCTGATAGATTTCCCTGTTCACTGGCATACAACTCTTCGTAGCAATTTCTGATGAGTCTTTTTATTTCTGTAGTGTCTGTTGTCACATTCCCTTTTTCATCTCTGATTTTATTGATTTGGGCCTTTTCTTTTTTTAGTTAGTTGGGCCAATGGTGTGTCAATTTTGTTTATTTTTTCAAAAAACCAGCACTTTGTTTCGCTGATCTTTTGTAATCTTTTGATTCCATTCTGTCGATTTCTTCTTTAATTTGCAGTATCTCTCTTCTCCTACTAGATTTGGGTCTGGTCTGCTGCAGTATTTCCAGATCCTTGAGATGAATTGAAAGCTCATTTATTTGGTGCCTTTCCAATGTCTTGATGTAGGCACCTATTGCTATAAACTTTCCTCTTAACACTGCTTTTGCTGTATCCCAGAAGTTTGATATGTTGTGTTGTTATCCTCATTTACTTCCAGACAGTTTTTGATTTCCCCTTTGATTTCATATATGACCCACTATCCATTCAGGAGCAGGTTATTCAGTCTCCATGTGTTTGTATATGCTCTAGGATTCCTGAGTTGCTAATTTCCAGATTCATTCCACTGTTGTCTGAGAAGATGCATGGCATGATTTCAATTTTTTTGAATTTGCTGAGACTTGCTTTATGGCCCAGTATGGTCAATCCTAGAGTAGATTCCATGTACTGCTGAGAAGAATGTGTAGTCTTCAAGTGTAGGATGAAAAGTTCTGTAGATATCTGTTAGATATATTTTGTCTATAGTGTCAATGATATCTGCTGTTTCCTTGTTGATCTTCTGTCTGGTTGATCCGTGTCTTGCTGAAAGTGGAGAATTGAAGTCCCCCAGTACTATTGTATTGGAGTCTAAGTCTCCCTTCAAGTCCTTTAATATATCTTTTAAATAACCCATTGCCTTCTAATTAGGTGCATATACGTTTATAATAGTACATCTTCCTGTTGAATTGATCCCTTAATCATTATATAGTGCTCCTCTTTGTCTCTCTTAAAAGTTTTTGTGTTAAAGTTTATTTTGTCTGCTATTAAGATGGCTACACGAGCCGGCGCCGTGGCTCAATAGGCTAATCCTCCGCCTTGCGGCGCCGGCACACCGGGTTCTAGTCCCGGTCAGGGCGCCGGATTCTGTCCCGGTTGCCCCTCTTCCAGGCCAGCTCTCTGCTATGGCCAGGGAGTGCAGTGGAGGATGGCCCAGGTGCTTGGGCCCTGCACCCCATGGGAGACCAGGAAAAGCACCTGGATCCTGGCTCCTGCCATCGGATCAGCGCGGTGCGCCGGCTGCAGCGGCGGCCATTGGAGGGTGAACCAACGGCAAAAAGGAAGACCTTTCTCTCTGTCTCTCTCTCACACTGTCCACTCTGCCTGTCAAAAAAAAAAAAAAAAAAAAAAAAAAAAAAAAAGACCTTTCTCTCTGTCTCTCTCTCTCTCTCACTGTCCACTCTGCCTGTCAAAAAAAAAAAAAAAAAAAAAAAAAGATGGCTACACGAGCTCTTTTTAGATTTCTGATGGCATGCAATATCTTTTTCCAATCTTTCACTTTCAGTCTTCATGTGTTTTTCTTGCAAGCAGCAAGTAGATGTGTTTTGTTTTTTAATCCATTCAGCCAGTCTGTGTCTTTTAAATGGAGAGTGGAGGCCATTTAGATCCCAATACCTTAAAGGCAGATTCTGAGGCCAGAATGCTGTTTAGGACATCTGCCATTCTATGAGTCTGCTGTGTATCCCGCTTCCCATGTTGGATCATTCTCTCCTTTTTAATTCTATCAGTTAGTATTAGCAGACCCTAGTCTTGTTTATGTGATTTCTTTTTAATCCTATTATTATGATCAAATATGAACTGAAGCTGATCACTTTGACTAGTGAAATGGCATTGGTACATGCCACCCTGATGGGATTGAATTGGAATCCCCTGGCACATTTCTAACTCTACTGCTTGGGGCAAGTCCGAGTGAGCATGTGCCAAACTATACATCTCCTCCATCTCTTATTCCCACTCTTATATTTAACAGGGATCACCTTTCAGTTAAATTTAAACACCTATGAATAATTTTATGTTAATTAAAGAGTTCAACCAATAATATTAAGTAGAACAAACAAAAAAAATACTAAAATGGATAAAGTATTAAGTTGTTTATCAACAGTCAGGACAAGGGCTGATCAAGTCACTGTTTCTTATAGTGTCCATTTCACTTCAACAGGTTTCCTTTTGGTGTTCAGTCAGTTGTCACCGATCAGGGAGAACATATGGTATTTGTCCCTCTGGGACTGGCTTATTTCACTCAGCATGAAGTTTTCCAGATTCTTCCATTTTGTTGCAAATGACTGGATTTCATTTTTTGACTGCTGTATAGTATTCTATAGAGTATATATTCCATAATTTCTTATCTAGTCTACTGCTGATGGGCATTTAGGTTGGTTCCAGGTCTTAGCTATTGTGTATTGAGCTGCAATAAACATTGAGGTGCAGACAGCTCTTTTATTTGCCAATATAATTTCCTTTGGGTAAATTCCAAGGAGTGGGATGGCTGGGTCGAACGGTAGGGTTATATTCAGGTTTCTGAGGAATCTCCAGACTGACTTTCATAGTGGCTTTAACAGTTTTCATTCCCACCAATAGTGGGTTAGTGTCCCTTCTTCCCCACATCCTTGCCTTCATCTTTTGTTGGTAGATTTCTGTATGTTAGCCATTCTAACCGGGGTGAGGTGAAACCTCATTGTGGTTTTGATTTAAAATGATCCTGAACATTTTTTTCATGTGTATGTTGTTCATTTAGATGTCCTCCTTTGAGAAATGTCTGTTGAGGTCCGTGGCCCATCTCTTAAGTGGGTTGTTTGTTTTGTTGTTGTGGAATTTCTTGATCTCTTCATAGATTCTGGTTATCAATCCTTTATCAGTTGCATAGTTTGCAAATATATTTTCCCATTCTGTTGGTTGCCTCTTCACTTTCCTTACTGTTTCTTTTGCAGTACAGAAACTTCTCAATTTGATGTAATCACAATTTTTAATTTTGGCTTTGACTGCCTGTGCCTCTGGGATCTTTTCCAATAAGTCTTTGCCTGTGCCTTCCTTTGTTCTTTTACTGGGAGTGTTTGCTTTCAGTGAATACCTAGAAGGGTGTGGTGGGTGTGACCAGGGAGCTCTGTTCAGTTCTCCAGGATGAAGAGCATGTTTAATGTTATATACCCAGGTTTTGGCATGGTAAATATCCTCTTTTTTTTTTTTTTTTTTTTTTTATCTGAGGGGAGCTTTGTTTTGCTCTGTTGGCCTGGATTCAGCTGGGCTCCTCTCCTCAAAGGAGAACAGTTCTGGGCATTAGCCCTAGTGTGTATAATATTTGTCTGCTCTGTCACAAGGACCACTCAAAGGTCTGTGCAGTCCTCAGTGTTAGCTCAGATACCCCTGCAATGTCCCTCATATGTAATTAGGGAGCCTTGAGTGTGCAGAGCCTCCTAGAGTGACTGCCCAACTTGCCAACCACACTCCGAGTCCTCCCGTGCAGCCTCAGTGTTTTCACAGTTCCAGCACACAACCCTCCACGGTCATGAGCACTCATCCCCTTGGCAGTTCTCCCCACCAGACTCAGGAGTCTCCACTTGGCTGGTTGCTGAGTGCAGACACAAGCTGGCACAGCTATTATATATGTTGAAAAAAGTACCCACTCTATATCGGCTTATTACAGGATGCCATAGCAGGGTGATGGGGGAGAGAAAATGTGTCCCCCCCCTTTTTTTTCTCCTCTAGTCTGAAAGTCCACAATCCCCCACAGAGCTCCAAGCCAGATTCCCCCCAGGCTCTTCCTGCAGCTTTATCACCAGTTGCTTGGGCTACTGCACTCTGGTATCACTTCACTCTGCAAAGCTGGTGCAGAGGCTCTTAGCTGCTGGGGTTCTGAGGTGTGTGCGTCCACGCTTTCCACGTAGGTCCACTGTGCCTCTCTAATTTGCATAGATTTTCCTCTGCAGTTTTCTCCCTAACTCTTCCTTGAGATTGCACTCTGTCCACTTTTATAAAACTATCTTCTCCTAGACTAGAGAAGTAAGCTCCCTCCCTACTCCACCATCTTAACCCAATCCTCATGTAGCTTTAAACTCCTTCAAAAAAAAAAAAACATATCAACTTATTTTAGATAAAATGAACTTAGCTGCTCTTTACAGCGATTAATTACAGTTGAGACATCACTATTATTGCCCTGCTTCTCCTCCTTTCAGTTGAGCTGAGGTCCTGCCTTTGTATAGTATGAAGGAATTAGAGGCCATTTTTTTAAAGCAGAGATAGAGAGAAATTGTCCATGTACTTGTTCACTCTTCAAAAGTGTGACACACGGAAGCTTGGCCAGGCCTAAGCCAAGAGCCAGGATATCAGTCATGATCTCCCATATGAGAGCTCAGTACTTGAGCTATCGTCTACTGCCTCCCAGGATGTGCATTAGCAGAAGCTGATGTCAGGAGTAGAACAAAAGCTAGAACCTGGGCAATCTGGTATACAGTAGTCCCAAGTAGCATCTTAACCACTGAGCAAATTCATGCACCTGTTTGTAGCTAATTTAAAGATAAAAGAGATATTTAAAATCAACTGGTCCAAAATTTGCTTTGATTTTTATGAAGGAGCAGTGGGTGACTCAGTGAAATGGTGCCACCAATGGAAAAGTATAAGATTTTGTCTAAGAATCCTGGTTTTAAAACTTCCAGTTCAGTGATTTCTCAAATCCTATCACATGGAATTCCTACCTCCATCCAAATGATCTGGAGAGTATCACCATCAGGCTTTCAACAGTCAGAGTATTGTAAACCTTACCATGGATAGAAATATGGAGTACAGTAGATTTTTTTTTAAATTATAGAGTTGAGTTTTAGAACATACTTTGAAATTCATAGAAAAACTAAGTAGAAAACATACAGTGCCCACAATATATGCCCAAACCATCACAATCTATACCCCAGAACATAACATCATCATCATCAACCAAGTTCATACTTTACATAGGGTTCAGTTTGTGTTACATATTCAATAACTTTGACTAATGTGTCCACTGAATTAAAATCCTCTCTTCTCTGCTTATTCGTCCCTCTATTCACTCCAAGCCCTTGGCTGCAAATGATCTTTGCATATCACCATAGTTTTCCTTTTCCATAATAACATACATTGGAAATCATAGTATTTAATCTGTGCGTATTGGCTTCTATCACTTACTATATCCATAAGGTTTTCCCACATATTTTCATGGATTAGTAATTTGTTTCTTCTTAATACTAAATTACATTTAAATAATATTGTAATTTATCTATAAACTACAGTTTTTCTACCCATTCAACTAAAGATAGACCTCTTGATGGCTTCCAATTTTTGTAAATGATGAATAAAGCTGTAATAAAATTCCTGTGCAGCTTTGGGGGTAGTTATAAACTTTTGAATCATTTGAATAAATGCCAAGGAGCACAAGAGCTAGAACACATGGTAAGCATATTTTAGTCTTATAAGAAAATGTCAAACTGTCTTCCAAAAATATGCCCCTTTTGCATACCCACTAAAATGACTAATACTCCTGATTGCTGCACAGTCTTGTCAACATTTGGCTTGATAAGTGTTAGATTAGAAACACTGTGCAGGTGTTTCATGTTGTCTCAGTATTGTTTCAGTTTGCAACTTCTTAATGATGCATGATGTTGAGCACTTTTCAAAACCTCCTGGCATCTGCCTTCTTAAATGAGTATATGATCAAATTTTTGGCCATTTTGAAAACAGATTGTCCATTTCTCACTATTAGTTTTAAAACTTCTTTGTATATTTTGAATTAACAGTACTTCATTAGATATGTCATTTATAAATATTTCACACACTCATTCTATAGCTTTTCATCTCTATTTTAACAATATCCTTTGCAGTGAAAATATTTTTATTTTTTTGAAGATAAGTTCATCCTTTTCCAAATTATGCTCTTTTGATGTATTTAGGAAACTTACCAAAAGAAGATCATCAGGATTTTCTTCTATGTAATACTATTAGAACTTTACATTTGCATTTTACAAATAGGCTTATAATGTACTTTAAACTAACTTTGTGAAGAGGATAAGACAGATCTCAATACTCTTATTTTTTTTCTAGAGAATGTTCATTTTTTCAGCCACATTTTTAAAAAGGTTGTCCTTTCTCCATGGAGTTGCTTTTACTCCTGTTCAAACTTTAATTGGCTATATTTGGATAGCTCCATTTCCAACTCAACTGTGTTCCACTAACTTATCTATTTTGTCACGAATACCACACTGTTTTGATTACTATGAATTTCTAATAGGTCTTGATGTCAAATGAAGTAAGTTCAGCCCATTGAATTTTTTCTTAAATATTGCATATCCTGAGTTTTTAACCACTCGTTATTAATGATAAACTCAGCTGTTGGAATCTGAAAGAAGAATCTGCCTATATTTTGACTCAAATCACATTATGTCTATAGATCAAAACAAAAAGACTGACAATATAAAAATAATAACATCATATTCATGTTCATGAAATATTTCTATTTACATTATCTTTGGTTTCTTCTACTTTGTAATTTTCTTCACATGATCATATACATATTATGTCAGACATAAACACAAGTATTTCGTATTTGTAGGAGCAATGTAAATGATGCTGTGTATTTTTGTGCCTAACATTATAAGGACCAGCATGAGCTTTTGGAACTTCATTTTGTTTTGTTATTCTCATTATATACAAAAAGAATAAAATCTGAAATTCAAATTTAATCTGATTCAAATTAAAAATGCTTTTATTTTGAACATGTAGAGGAGAAGCATGTCTGAATTATCAAATGCCAATCATCTTGCACAATTTCACAGTGGCTATATAATAACAACTAAGCATTAGACAGATATTAACCCATGTGGTGGTCAATCTAAGAATTACAGACTATAAGGAAGCGCAGAAACACATTTGAGAAAGGACCCAGAAAACTCTTCCTAATGGAGCCTAGATCTTGAGAAATGAATAAATGTCAGAGGACATGACAGAGAAGGGACCCATGATAGGCGAAGGAGTTGGATGCTGCTCTGGAGGAGGGAGAGTAGCAAATGACAGCCCAGCAGCAGCCACATCACCTGCCCTTCTTCAGACAGGAACGAAGATGAACAGGTATAAGCGTGGCACACGGCCAAATCTACTGACAAGTGGGGTGGTGTCAATGTCCTTGGGGTCAACCAGAGGCTTCAGGGTAAAGTTCTGTAAAATGGCAGTCAGGAATAAAAACAGCTCCATGTGGGCCAGGGCCTCTCCCACACACACTCGCTTTCCTGAAAATAGCAAGCACAGAGGATTCTTTACTTAAACATTGAATTGTGAAATTATCACAAGAAGTATGCTGAGACTGATTGCTCCAGGACTGAGAAGAGAGCTGGGTGGATGGAAGACAGGATGACTGGAGGATTCCTGGATACACACACAGAATAAAGGATGAGCACTTGCTATCCACATAACATCTGATTATATCAAGTGTCCCTCACTCTACAAATGTGTATTGAATATCAGTTCTGGAAACTATGTCACATGTCTCTTCTTCGTTATAAATTGTGTAATCCTAAACTCTTCCACCAGATTTCCTTATCATATTCATGATCCACTGAGCCATGGATCACTTTGAATATGATTTTCTTTTTTTTAATGGAGATAATATATGAGGTCATTAAAAGAGGTGCTTAGACCACAACATGTTGGCATTATAATGCATAACCCAAAGCACTGAAAAGACAGAGAAAAAGAATGTGGACTACTGTGGGGAGCAACTCGGACTAGACTAAGTTACTGAAATTAAGACTTATTCTATGCATCTGCTCTCCCACAATATGGCGCTGGGAGAGGAGGAAACAGCTTCTACACAGCTGCCTCCAGTTCAACCAATAAACAGCAGGACCTGCTCCTGATTGGAGGAGAGCAGCATACTCGGCATGTGGGTAGCAGAGTTGGGATTGGTGGAAGAGGACTATAAAGGAGGAGAGAGACAACATGCACCAGGAACATCTATCTGAAGGAACACCTGAGCAGCCCCCGAGAGAGCCGGCCGGCGGTGTGCCGCTGCCCCGCGGAAGTGGGGAAAGTGGCAGGGGGAACCGTCCTTCCATGGAGGTGGAAGGGACGGTAGCCAACCCGGGAAGAACCAGCAGCAAACCCGGGGAGGGCCGAGCAGACAAAAGAACAGCGCAGGGTCCTGTGTCGTTCCTCCACGAAGAGGGGGAGCAACAGACTACAGATGTAGAAACTCAATTCAGACAATTTAGCTGTGGAGATCAAATGTTCCAGGTGTATGATCTTCAGTGTAGCAAGATGAAGGTGCCCTGCATTCTTTCAGAATATCCTCCACATTCCCAAGCTTTCCCTGTCCTTACATTTTTTGAGCAATTCTGACCTCAGCAATCCACAGGAATGTCCTCTTCCTGAGGTGCATTTCCTCTGTAGGTGTCCTGATTTTCTCCTTTCCTTTCTGTAAGCCTCCTCTGAGGCAGTTCAATTTCCCTTCTCCTATTAGAACCATGGGATGTCAGTGAGCAGAAAACAGTTTCCCTTCAGCCTCCTTAGCAACCTGTGCTTTCCTTTCAAAGCACTTATACTATGGTGTTGCAATCCTCCTTTGTTTGCTCTGGGATACTAGTTAAAACCCTATAATCCAGTGCCAACTTTGTTGCAAAGCAGGTTAAGCCACTGCCAGCAATGCCAGTATCTCATAAGGATGCCAGTTTAATTTCTAGCTGCTTCACTTTTGACCCAGTTCCCTGATACATTGCCTGGTAAAACAGTAGAAGATGGACCAAGAACTTGCATCTTTGTACCTACTAAGGAGACCCTGATGGAGCTCCAGGATCCTGGTTTCTGCCTGGCCCAGCCCTGGCTGCTGAGGTCACTTGGGAGCAGAACCAACACATGGAAGATTCTCTCTCTCTCTCTCTCCCTTTCTCTCTCTCTCTCCCTCCCTCCCTCTCTGTCTCCCTTTCTCTCTAACTTGTTTTCAAAAAAAAAGCCTTTTTTTAAAAAAAGAAAGAAATCCCCATTCTCATTCAAAGTAAAGACCACCACAGAAAAGATTCTCCTTTTCTATTTATTTATTTGACAGACAGAGTTAGACAGTGAGAGAGAGAGACAGAGTGAAAGGTCTTCCTTCCATTGGTTCACTCCCAAAATGGCCACCATGGCCGGAGCTACGCTGATCTGGAGCCAGGAGGCAGGTACATCTTCCTGGTCTCTGACATGGGTGCAGGGGCCCAAGCACTTCGGAAGTCCTCCACTGCCTTCCTGGGCCATTGCAGAGAGCTAGACTGGAAAAGAAGCAACCAGGACTAGAACCCAGTGCCCATATGGGATGCTGGCGCTGCAGGTGTAAGATTAACCAAACAAGCCTTGGTGCTTGCCCCAGAGGAGATTCTCAAAGTTATCAACAAATACACCATTTTCACAATAGATGAAGAAAGTCTGAATGAGATGCATGTTCGAAGAGGAGCACATGTGTACCCAGGTATAGATAGAGGCCAAATTCAATTACTCTAGCCTGCAGGTTTCTCACTTGGAGAGAACTGAGTCAACAACATGAAGCCCCTAAGCCCCATTAACCTGGATCCATAACGAGGAATTATCATGGGAAAGGAAGGCATATGGACAGTAGGAGTGGTATTCCTGATCACGAATTGATAGCAAATCTACTGCTCAGTAGGACACACTACCTTAACTTCGACTGATCCCCAAAATTTTTCCTGTCCCCCAGGATCAAATGGAAATAAATTTCTGTTACCTGCTGAGAAAGGCATGAAGTAGTCACTTTTCTTAAAGTTGCCGCTGGCATCCAGGAAGTGGCCAGGGTCAAACCGGTCTGGGTTCAGGAATTCTTTGTCCTTTGTCGTCGTGCAGCACAGAAGTCAGTGATGTTAGTACGGCCGTGCCCTGAAAAAAAAAAAAAAAAAAAAAAAAAAAAAAAACAGAAGAAGCCGGGGCTGGCGCCATGGCTCACTTTGTTAATCCTCCACCTATAGCCCTGGCATCCCATATGGGCACCGGGTTCTAGTCCTGGTTGCTCCTCTTCCAGGCCAGCTCTCTGCTGTGGCCCAGGAGGGCAGTGGAGGATGGCCCAAGTGCTTGGGCGCCTGCACCCGCATGGGAGCCCAGGAGAAGCACCTGGCTCCTGGCTTCGGTTCAGCATAGCTCTGGCCGTAGCAGCCATCTGGGAGGTGAACCAACGGAGGAAAGACCTTTTTCTCTGTCTCTCTGCCTGTCTAACTCTATCTGTCAAATAAAAAAGAAACAAAACAGAGAAGAAGCCAAGGAATGGAAGCAAGGATGGAAATCACAAAGTCAATCTGTGGGGAGGCTGAATCTGGAGAGGCTAGAGGAACTTCCTCAGCCTGCCTCAAATTTGAAAACCTGTCTCTAAGTTTAAAATCCCTGGCAGTAAATGACCCAGCCCCACACACTTTTGCCTAATGATTATTGAGGTGGTATAATAGGAGTGGCTAAAACCCTTTTGCATCACATCACCCCACCCCTTGCCTGCATCCACTCTGTACCCCAGCTATATAAACACCTCCCTTTTACAATAAAGGGAGATCCTGCTTCAACTGGACTCCCTACCGTCTGATTGTCCCCTGGGGTTCAGGGAGACTGAGTTGCAGGTGATGCACTTCCCCTCCTCTGCCAAGGAAAGCTGCGGGCAGTCTGCCTATTTCTCCGGTGGTGATGAGGAAGAGTCACCACAGCTGGCACCCAATGTGGGCCACACGGGGCACGAACAGGACTTGGCTGAGGCCAAGTGGTTTGTCAGGGTAAGTGAAACCCTCAGACATGGGTAACGCAACTTCAGCTGAGAATGACCCAGCCCTGAAAGCCCTAATTCTTATGCTCAGGTCCAGAGGCTTGGAATTCTCAGATAGCTTGGCACTTCAGACTTGGGAAACCATCGTCTCCATTGCCCCTTGGGTGCCTAGCGCTAACCTCTTTTCCTGGACTACATGGGCAAGGGTTGAAAAAATAGCCATAGATAAAGAGAAACATTTGGGGATCACCTCTCTGCTGGGGTTCTTCCCTACCGTCTCGGCTCTCAAAGTCTCATTTCACCTGGAGGGCCTGCCCCCCCCCCCCCCAGTAAGGGAACAAGGCAGTAAAGCCTCCTCCCTAGCCTGCTGTGACGCTATAAGGCATTCTCCCAACAGGGAAATGATAAGGGCCTTATGTCGGGAGCTGTAGGTCCTGTTCAGCCATCCCAAGGGTTGGAGAAGGGCTCACCCCTTAGCCCCCGGGAGGGTGGGCTGGATCAGGTGTCCACCACAGATGAAGAGCGCAGGGAGGAGGAAGCCTGGGCTGACTTTAATGAACAGCAAGCTGCTCTGAGCCTGACAAAGGCAGGGGCAGGGGAGGCGGGCGTAGATGTGCCTACAGCCACAGCTCCCCCTCCCTGTGAAAGGGCTCAGGGACAAATGGAACTTCCTCCCTCCTATGTCCACATGTGGCAGCTGAGGTGAGGACCTTACGCAGCTGCAAGGGAGGACCTCAAGTCATGGCACGATCCTGGAGGGGATTGGGCGTGTGATTGGATCATCCCCCTGTTTCTCCTCGGGTGGGAGGGGGCAATTCACGACCAGCACCAGCTAAAACCCAGGTCTTCCCAGTCAACTTACAGCCTGGGGGAGCTAGGCCACAAGCATGGTACCCCTAAGAGGCTAAGGACCTCAAGGAACTCCGCAAGGCAGTTGCTGAGGACGGCCCCAATTCACCATGGGTGCTTACTCTCCTCAGGACATAGCATATCACCCCTTCTTGCCTACGGATTGGCTTGACTGCAAGGGCTACCCTCAGTGGCCCACAATTCATTAAATGGGTGGCATATTACAAAGAGGAATGCAAGACTCTGGCCGAAGCTAATAGGCAGGCACACCCACCAATCCCTATTACTTACCCCATGCTCACGGGAACCAGGGAGGGCTATACTATGGGCATTCAACAAGCTGCGGTAGCCACCCCATATCGGGACCAGGTGCAATAGGCGGGATTGGTGGCCTGGCAGAAGTTGGATGAAGGACCAACAGAGTCACCCTTGGGAGGGGTTAGACAAAAACTTGGTGAACCCCTCGCAGACTTCATCAATAGGGTGGAACAAAGTGTTAAATGTAAGCTCCCTACAGGAAACCTTAGGGAACAGTTTATAAAGCTGATGGTCTGGGAAGGGATGAACGCAGATCACCGCACAGCCTGTGCAGGGCTGAGGGATGCCTCACTTAGCCGGTGGGTGATAGCATCACAGGATTTGGGCACGCAGCAACACCAGACCAAAAACTTGGCCATGGCCCTCCAGATGCAGACCACCACCTTAACTGAGGCACTCACCCAGGCCCTTGCCATAAGAGAAGGGGGAAATCTGTGAAATCCCCTGGGGCCTGCTTCCAGTGCAGACAGCAAGGTCACTTTAAAAAAGATTGTCCACAACAAAAGGCCCAACGTGGCCTCAACCCACTACACCTCCAACTACAGAGGGCGTAGTGCTGCCATCTTGTGAAGAGCGTGCCTACCCAACCCCACAGCCAGTCCTGCTAGACCCCGGCGTGCACAGTCTTCCTTGTAAATGGGGGACCATGGCCTTTCTCTGCACTCTGTTCCAGGCAACATGGCCTGCCTCAGCCATGCAGGCATGGCCAGATATCTCTAGGGAGAACACTCCCGAGGGCTGCTTTTTTTCCTCTCCATTTACAATTCAATGCCCTCCTCACTAGGAGGGGGGAAGGGAAAATGCCTTTGGCTACTACTGGCCTTACCTAAGGAAACAAGAACCTTAATCCATTAACACTTTCCAACCTGATGGGTCTTTCTCTTTGCAGTTAATGGAAACATATGCTGATGATCAGATCTTTTCTGTGCTGCTGTAGCTAACTTATCTGATGAGAGTTTGCACATGTTTTGAAGGTTTTGTGTTTTATTGGATTTGCCTGTCTTTAATGTTTGAATGATTACCTAACCCTAATCAGATCTACCCCACAGCCTTGGTTAAAATGCTCGGTTAAACATACTAATTTTTGGCTAAGCAGTTTGACTCTCTAACAGTTTAAATTCTAAATGGAGTCTTCCAACTTTGGGGCTTCTAGTCGGATCCCTGGAACTCTCAAAGGATGGGACTCTAAATTTGTTAAAGTAACAACTATTTGAGTCAATTCAAATTATACAAAGTGTATTAAAATGTTAAAAGTGATGTCAGACCTATGTTGTATTCATGTTTTTGCTTTCCAGCTAACATGGTCTTATATTCTGTGTATACAAGTCTTTACATGTCCTTAATATGTTTTAAACATGTTTCTTTTACAGATCTGTTTTTACAAAAACTGTAATGTCTCTTTTTAACAGTGTCTGCTTAATTGGTTACTCTGCCATTTCTAGATTTAGGTCCTGTAAGCTCTTTTAACTCTGTTAAATAGTTCTGAGTTATGTGATAATTTAATGTGCTAACTCTTATGTTCAAGGTGTTTTTATTTCTGGTTTATTCAACAACAAGAAACCTAAAATTCATGTTCTGTCAAGGTAATCTATTGTATACTCTACTGTCTCTGTTAAGTTCAGATTAAGCATTAAGTCTTTAAAAAGCTACATTAAAAATCATTAGATCTGGTCTAAAGGAGTTAAAATTGCCCTAATTAAATAAATGGCTGTCATTTCATGATGTTAAAAAATTCTATTTTAACCAGATACTCTAAGTTCTCTTGGCACCTTTTACAAACTTTCTAAAAATCAAAGTTCTAAATTCTCTAAACTTTTGGTATCTCCAAAAGGGCCCCTGGAGATGTCAAAAGATATATCTCTCATCTTACAGAGATAATAACCAATCGGGATGTTTAGATTAAAAGTGCTACCAAGATGTAAAATGATTCAACACTCTACTAAAATTCCTCACAACCCACAGGAACAGGCTACTGTGGAAAATAACCATCAATGCCTCAAGGAACAGTCATTATAACAAAAAGGGGGAGTGGCTACCCCCCCATCTACAGTTACATAAAGCCTTGCTTACCATCAATATTTTAAATTTTTCAAAATAGTCAAGGGAGTCAAGGTTCCAAAAACATTGGGGACATTTAACCCCTAAACCACAGATGCTTGTTAGATGGAGAGACCCTCTCACCCAACTCTGGAGAGGGCCTGACCCACTGATTCAGTGGGGAAGAGGATTTGGCTGTGTGTTCCCCATAGGAGAGTTGACTCTGATTTGGATACCGGCCAGAAATATCAGGCCTATGCCCAATACAAGTAACAACCCACCCAGGGAGCAGTACGCCCCTGAGGGAGATCCCCTTGTCTTCCCTCTTCCAGAAACGGACGGAGATCCAGAGGCAGGTGATGATGTGGATGCTACTCTTCGCTGCGATCCTGACCATAAGTGCCCAGCCCAGTGATGGGGGATTCGATGACCCAAACACAATCATCAAAACACTCCAGGAGGACCTGGAAAAAGATGAAGAGAACTCCAAGAAAGCCCCTTTTGGACGGGCCTTAATGGACTCCTGCCCTACCTCCTCCCTCTTCTTGAACTGCTTCTTGCCCTGCTTTTAATCCACTATTGGCCCATGCATAATGAATTGGCTTAAACAGTTTATACAACAGCACATAGAGACAACAAGGGTGCGACAGATTGAGGTTCATTACCAGAGGCTGGTAGCCACAGAGGGCTCCAATCCCCTAAACTGGGGAAGTGCCCCCGGTGCTCTCCACATTGTCAATGAAGGGTAAGATTCAGGATGGACTGGAACAACCTAAGACAGGTGGTGGAGAAGGCTCACCACGCTCCCATAATTACAAGTCACACGACACCCCAAGATGGGTAAAGCACTCAGCATCCTGTACCAACCTAAGACAGGGTTCATGGCCAAGCTGCCTAGGTTACCAATGACAGGTAAGGGCAAGGACAGCTG